ATTTATGTATTAAATATTTGGATATATTAATTATTCCTTGTTTTTTTTATAAGTCCAAAAGCAAGAAAAAAGTATAAATTAAAACTATATTTAAAAAGGTTTTAAGTAGTATTTGAAAGTAAAGAAGAATGTGTCAAAAATTTATCTCAACTTAAAAGTTTAAGTTATTAGGTAGGATGCTAAGATATAATTTATATTATTATCTAGAAAACGACTTTAAGTAAAAGTCATTTGGACATGGAACTTGCTTTTGCTTACTTAATTTTATCAAATACAATGGAGGTGGTGAAACTCAAACTCAAGATTGTTTAGTCAATAATACTCTTATATCATATCAACTTAATAACTTAAATTTTTAAGTGAGGTTACATGATGTGATTTATATTATTCACTGACAAATTCATTATTGCATCCATCGCAAATGCATTTTTATTGGCACTATGGATTCACACAATAACATTTTTTTGTGTATGTAACTTTTTTTATTTGATCTTTCCATGTTGATCTATTTTAAGATTGATCTTGATATTTTGTTTCTTTTATCTCGTTATGGCCATCTCGTGTAGTCATCAAAATATCTTGTTATAGGGTTTGTATTTAGTCTTGTAAAGAATTATTTGGATTTTTTTTTTCAAAAGATTACTTTAAGTGACAATTAAGAGAAGAAAAAAAAGGCAGCCTTTAAACAAAGAATATAAAATTCAGTTTTGAAATCTAATGAGAAAAGAGAGGAAAAAAAGAAAAGAAAGAGAAAAAATAGGTCATCAATGCCACATTGTGGTGAGGTAAATACCACACGCTACCTTGGAAGGAAAGGCCCATAAAAATTATTCCTATGACACCAAGAAAGCTTGTCTTTAGAAGTTGAAAGAGGCCACACACTCCACCTAAATTTGAAAACTCTTCACACATGCTAGTGCTAGACTTTCTTTTACTTTTGTTGTTCAATTTAGTTCTTGATTCTATAATAAATCATCAATAGAGCCTTAGTTATCATCCCACTTGAGCCCAAACCCTATCTTTTTAATTTCACCCTTGAATTTCTAAGAACTATTCAATTTAGTATCGAATCTCATCTGATTTATGCCCAAAAAAGGCTTAATCAAGGAGAGAATAAATTAAGAAAAGGAAAAGGAAAAGAATAGCTCCCTAATTGAGTTAGTGCATTCTAGTCATGTCCATGTCTCGAAATGTGAATTTGATGATTAACTTGGGTTGATTGTATGTGATTCAATATAATATTATCTCGATATTAAAACTAAAAATAAGTGAACCTGATTTCATTTTTTATAATTGTCTAACTTATTTTAAGATTTATCAAATCAACCAGATTATGTTGTGGTAACTTTTACATGCTTTAATATGAAAATTATGTTAGACAAATAATTAGGTCATAAGATTTTAAAATTAATCTATTATGATGGATTTAGTGACACTACAAATAATTCCCCATATCATGCTAATTTTTTTACTTCCAAAAAAACAATGTTAATTGCTTATAATATTTTTTTTAAATAGAATTTAAACATAATCATTGTATGTTTTTTTTTTATTAGATCAAGTTTTATCCTGACTAACATGATATATTATGAATTTACATGAATTAATTTTTTTAAAAAAAGAAAAAAAACTCACAAATAACATCTCAAATGCATGCTCACGTCGAATTACATGCAACAAAACTAGAATCACTACACATTCAAGTGAAAGGACGCTACTAATCTTACAAAAAAAAAACGTTTCACATACTATTTTGAAGGCCCCTTCTTCCCTCTTAAAAGGCTAGCCTAGTTCGAGCCCATGGGGCTTTAGTTTTGTCTGTGGGCGGGTTAGGATGGTAAAAGGCTAGTTTGTTAACCTTTTTCGCAATCATTAGCGACATGTCGTTTAGTTCCCCTTCCTCAAAGAAGCTCCATGCCCTGCTGCAAGTGAAAAAAAATTCCCTGCTGCTAGTTCTACCTATCAAGTTCTGGTTCAAACGATTACTACATGAATTCATAAGATCATAACTTATAACAGTAACTTATTCCCAATTCAAATTTAATAATTTAGAATGAAAACAATACAAATTAATCCATCTCTATGGCATAATAAAAGCTTAGCAAATTTCAAATGATATTTTTCTTGTTTAAATAGTCAAATGTAGATATTTGAAAGCAGCATAAGGTTTCAGCTGCGTGTGCCAAGCTTTCAAGCATTCTGTTGGGTGCAAGGTAGCATGAAATGTAGAATAAAAAACCATCATAAATCCCAGTAAATCAATGAAAGGTGGGAAAATAGTTTATTAGTACACAATATAATCAGGAAAGGATCGATCTCACACTAAAACAAAGAAAATTTTCTACTTTCGCCCTCTTTCTAAAGCTTGTTTTCCCATTTACCTCCAGTCACCCCCTCGTAACTGATTCAAGAAGTTTAAGATTTTTTTTTAAAGAACTGAAGAAATTAACTAAACAAAAGCGAAACATTTCTATGGTCGTTTAGCCAAGCCACAGAACAATGTATTTGGAGGGGGATCAGTCTCTGTGTATAGGCTGCGTTCGTCGTTCCAAACCCTGACGTACAATTGTTGGCCTAGATATCGCCGCGCCCAGATTGCTGACCTCAAGTTCCACATGCCCTTGTTGTCCAATGACACATATATTGCGGTCCAAGCAGTGGGATATACCTGCCAACATTAATGTGTTCAAGTTAAGTTTATTTAAGATATTGAATAATTAACATCATCTATGCAGTTTTCTCTAAAATATTGATCATCTATACAGGGCTAGGAATTAGACGGGAGGAAAGTGGGCATTTCATTGTGTATGTGTATGTTTTTTTACTTAAAACAATTGTAGATGTTCTTTTCAATCACCTGAACAGTGTATCTAGAGACAGCATCAAGCAGATTGTAGCGTTTCCTCATGCTGGGGTTCCACACATTATCGCCATATCTGCAAATTTTAGAAATTAATCAGTGTATTTTGTATCAGCAAACTTTGATTTCATAGGAATAAAGGCTTAGAATTGAAATGTTACATTAGATTGATGTGTGAGCTTGGACTTGTAAACAAGTGTAACAAATATATATCTAAGATTTAGCAAAAGTACGCAGATAAAAATGCCTACGCAACAACGTAGAAACTAGTTCCGGATAGATGCCAGGACTGTATCGTGTTCTCGTTGTTTTGGAAGACAATTTCCACAAAGTCATGAAGTTCAGTTCCAACCACGGAAGTTCCGAGAACTGCAGGGGTATTGACAGGTGTAGTCTTCATCGAATTCAAGGAAAAGACACCGGGGATGTTATACCAGTCAGCAAGTTTCAATGGGGTGGAAGGATCGACATAAGATATCCCGTTAACAGCATAACGCAGCTTGCCATTTATCTTCTCTGCTGTATTGGCTAAAACAAGCGTCTTCACAACTTTTATAGTCCCATAATGGAATGACCCTTGAGGATTTGGCCTGGCTGCATTTGCTGTCAAATTCAACCTGTCCAATTATGAATTTGGCAATAGTTAGCTACTAGACACATATTTGACTGACTAAAAAGTATGGTAGTAAGAGAGAAACTTGAAGAAGATAACCTGATGGTCCTGGCTTGCTTCATAGACCAGTGAACATGATAAGTTGGGCCAATAGGCAATGGCAGAGAAGGTGGGGTGTTGGAGCCCGCATAGCGAAGAAGGGCAGTTGTAGTGAGAATAGGTTTAGTGAAACGAGAAGAGGCAACTATGTAATAGTCCTTGACTGCACTATTGAATTTAACCAAAACTGTTACTGATTGACCAACGTGAACATCAAGCGAGTTGTACACCTCTTGCATAGTATGAGATCCTTCAACTTCAACAAGAGTCAGTGTGTGGCCCTGAATTCTGAAGTTGATTGAAGTTGAAATTCCCACATTTGAAATCCTGAACCTGTAAGTTTTCCCTGAAAAAAGCATGGCCAAGTTTCTCTTCCATGTTCCATCTCTTAATCACATCTTAAAAACAAGTTGAAGAGATATTCTATTATATGATGTTTACCTTTTTCACCAGTGAAGCTTGCACCTTTAGAAAGCCCATTGATAAGAAGAGCATCAGGAACAGGAAGAGCTTTGCCCCGGTCCAAGTTTTGCTTCAATGCCTGCAAAGATGGATGCTCCCTAATTAACCATGATAAACATTGATGGAAACCAAAGAGGGTAAAAGGGATTGGTAAGAAATATATCGGAGGCATTTCAGTAACAAACCTGATGTCCTGCCCTGTACCAATCACTAATGAGAAGGGTAAATTCTGCAACAGGAATAGGGTATGGAATTGATATCACAGACCGTGAAGCAATATTGAAACCTCCGAATCCGCCACCGGCTTTATGCATTGCAGTTGAAGGGAAGTAGATATAAGTTCCAATCTGATCTTTTGTTTGGAATTTGTAGGTCCAGTTGGAGCCTGGAGGGATTGGACAATTGGTCCCTAGCACTCCATCTTGCCACGAAGTCCTTCTTTGCTTGATTCCATTCCTGATTTCACAGGGGAAATTTTTTGCTTTTTATTACTCATATCTATAATGTGTTCTAGCAAAGAGAAACTGGTACTTGTAATCTATTGCAAGGATAGGCCATGAGTTGGAATCAGCAGGACTTCCTTGTGCCAACAAACAAATAGTGGTATAAGAATGAGTTGAATACTAACCATGTTATGAGGAAAGGTTCATTCAACTTATTAATAACATTTACAATTATGTTGTCGTTAGTCACACATTCAATATTTGGGCCAGGAAATCGTCCATTGATAAGAATAACCTGCAAATTTGACAGAGAACGAGAGAGGAACAGATTCAATTGAGTGTGCGGAAAGTGTGAAGATGTAAAACAGTATCACTATCTCTCACTGAAAGTCAATAATGTATCGCTTGAAAGGAGGACAATGTAAAGGGTTAACAGCCTACCGTCTGAGGTCTATCAAGAACAGTGCGTGTTCCATATGTTACTGTCCATGTGTAATATCTATAGGGATCTTCTGCTTGCACCCATGTATCACTCAGCAAAGCCAATATTCCAACACAAAAATACAGGATGCTGGCCTGCCTCATCTTAACGTAAAAATATTTCTTTCAGTTTCCAGATATCTGCCCAACAAAAACATAAACAAACCATTTAGATTCAGTGACGAAGGATGCCATCTATAGTTCACCTCATTGACCACAGAGCAATATCGCTGAATGACTGGCCAAGATTTGACACACTTAACAAAGGAATAGAATAGAATAGAACTAGTTGTATACCTAAGAACTGCAAAATGATCCTCAAAGAATGAAGAAAGAGATAGAAAATATTTAGCACAGTACCCAGGTCTCACAATGTGGAGTCCATATATAAGGGGAGAATCACGCATCTGAAGGTGCCAACATGGAGGGACACGAAAATCCAGAAAATGGATAGCTCTTTTGCGGCGCACTTCATGCTCAACTTACATACTCTTCCACAACTCATTCTGGACTCAGAAATATTTAGATATTGATAAATCACCAGTTGCCATTTTGACTTAAGATTACTTGATATAAACTAACCCTCTATTCATCCATTTTATTCCCCAATACTAATTAGAGCTTGACTTCGGATATTGTCAAATAGGTTAAGCAATTGAAGATATATAACCATATCGGACCGACATAAAACACTAACATATGCATTGATATTTTCTTTGGTCTTTAATTAGAGAGTTAGGAGATTGCTATTAAAAGGATTACATATAACCATAAGGATTGAATTCATCACCGTTGTTATAAAGTTAAGGAGCTGATTATATTATAGCCTATTTTTATATGGGGCATTTTCTTGATCTCAACTCCCCAAAAAAACAGAGTAGAAATGTAAATAGATCATTGACACTAGATCAAAAACTTGATATTTTAATAGTTAATACCTTGTATTTCATTACAATTTTTTCAAAGAGGTATTCATTCAATTTTTCTTTCCAAACAAAACTAGGTGATGCATGGAGGACCATAGAACAAGAATCGTCGGTGGCGGGAATGGGGGAAGGTGGAAGGAAGCGAGGGCAGCGCAGCGGAGAACGGATCAACATTAATTGCAATTTAATTGTGAAGCAAGCACTGATTTATAATACTAAAATATTAGAGCAGCTCCAGAAAACGCGTGGAAGAAAGAAACTCTTTGAAATAATTTAGACTCCGGGTCACGTGACAGAGGAAGCAAGAATTGGAGATAAAGGAAACGGATGCTGGATCGGGTCGGGTCAGGTCGGGTCAGTCCTCTTGTTATTTTTAAGGTTTCGTTGGTTTTCTACTCTTTGGATTTGATCCAATTTTAGAGTCTATGATATACATCTCACGTACTTTAGTGCAAATTGAATAATAAAAACTTTTAGTGGATAATTCTATTTTAACCGATAATTTAAAAACTTTTAACACCTTTTACCCATAGTTTAATAAAGTTATAACTTCTATGAGACCTTTACTGCAGGAATGGCTTCCCGTCAACAGTTTTAAGACTTTTGTTTAGTGCTCATTTAATATTTTTTGTCAACCAAAATTAATGTATAAATAAATAGATATATTTGAAGGAATTTCCTAAATTCTTACATGTCTACTAAGATTTATAATATTTTCGTAGGTAGAACTAATTAGGTAACATGCATGTTTAATAGAGATCATGTTTCAGAATAATTTTGGGTTGAAAATATATTAAAAATATTTTTTTTATTTTTAAAATGTATTTTTGATATCAATATATTAAAACAATATATAAAAACAATTCCACAGTGATATTCAAGCATGAGTTTCTCCTTGGCACTCGAGCAAATAAATCCAAAATATATTTCGACAAATGTACACTTGACATAGCTGGTTTAGCTATGCAGCATATTGTATTAAGTGACTTGTGATTAAAGTCCACCTATTATAAACTAAGTTTCAATAGAGGGGCCTTAATTGATTAAAGGGAAAAAGGAGGAGCATTTAGCAACAAAAATATTTTGCATTGGCATTAGGGACTTGTGGAAAAGCCTTAGAACTCGATCATTGAACAAGCTAACCTAGAATGTCTTCGAGTATACCTGTACAAATAGAGGGATCTTAATTGAAAGCAGTAAAAACATTATAAATTTTGTTTTTCAGGCACTATTAAGCCTTTTCTTTTTTTTCTAGTCATATAATTTGTTTGTTATTTTTTAAATTTAATTATTTTATATTGAATTTATTCGTAGTTTGTCTCTATAAACTTGAATTGAGGTTCTTAGGGTGTCAGAAAAAAACATTTTCAAAGTTGCCTTGATACTTAATTTTGCAAGAGTTCAAATTTTAAAATTCCATAACAAATGAAGATAAAAGGATTGAAATTGAATGTGAGGAGACAAATGCACTTATTATTGATCTTGATGGGTCTTATTTGACAATAAATATTTTATTAAAGAGTTTTGTTATTTTTATCTAACAAAAAAATATATTAGATTTGAGAAAAAAAGATTGGTTTTGTATTTTTAAACCATATTACAAATCGGTTTCTTGAGATTTTAGGGTTTTTTAAAAATTATTATAGATTGTGATATGATTTTGAGATTAGAACAAGGAATCTACAAAAAAAAAAAGAAGTGATATATTGGCTATTCTAACTTTTGTTTTAAAAAAGAAAAATACCATCCACAAGGAAAAGAATTTTAACACTTGCAATATAAGGCCAGTCCCGCTACGCCACCCAGACCCAATTGCTAGGTTAGTTTTTTCCTTATAATTTATCTTTTTCTTTACCTTTAATATAAATAAATTTAACTCTATATGAATTACTTAAAAAGAACTATGCTTGTTCATATTATCTGTAATTTTCATTTATATTTATTATATATGTTATAAATCATGAGAATTATTTAATTAATTTTTTTATTTAAAACATGTTTTTGGATAAGACCTCGAATATTTTTTTGAATAATAGCAGCTGCTATTTTTCATTCAACCCTTTTATTAGATTTATTTTATTTTTATTTTTCTAAATTTTATTTTATTTTTTCTTGTGAGTATGAGTTCAGAAAAACAAAACTATTAAAATTAGCCTAATTATCCTCCATGTATAAAATTTGATGTATTGTTATAAAACAATATTATCTTCCAAAACAAAACATGATTTAATAGGATTTTAACTAGTTCAACTATGTAATATTTACTCCCAATTTCCGTTATAAAAGAATTAGACTTATCAATTTTAACCATACTCATAGAAAAAACATGGGCAATTCAGCTAATTAATAAAAATTAAAAGATGTGTGAAAATCATTATTCATCCATATTTAACTCTATATTTAATTGTACTATGAATTACAATAATAATTTATAGTTTTTTTTTCTAAAAGATATTATTTTATTTTATCTTTTAATATTTAGATATTTAGAGTATACCTGTACAAATATTTTTTTTTAATTTTTTTTATTAAAGTTTATTTTTTATGGTTTATTTTTTTATAAGGTTAAATAAATAGTTTTAGTGAAAAATATTATTAAATTTTATAAAGTAATAAAAAAAATTAAAAAGCATGGAACCTACATCCATTATACTATGGATTATAGTATTTTGCTTCTTTGTTTCCTTTTTCTTTTCCTTTTCTTTTTATTGAATTTTTGTTATGTTTTATTTTTAAATTATTTTTTTATTTTAATATTAAGGTGATTAAGAATTTAGTTTTGTAATTTATTTTTTTTATTTTGTTTCTCTATTGTGTTAGCATTTATACCACGGTAATCCAGGTTGCTCTAATTTACAAGTTTTATAAGATGTCTTTTTTTTTTTAATTGAACCGGTGTTTTGTATTATCTATTTTTGCCTCAAATATTTAAAAAGAAAATTGTTTCAAAGAAAAGTCATTTTATTAAACTTTATAAAGTTCATAGATCTATTTATAGGTTTGGCTAGTTGACCTGATTTGTGAGTTTGACGAGTTTAATTTTTTTAATTATTTTTTTATTTCATTCATAGATATTGGATTAGTTAAGAATTTAGTTTTATAATTGATTTCATTTCATTTTCTATGAGGTTATCACAATCTCAAAAAAACATCTTGGTATTGGGTTTATATTCAATTCTGCGATTGTCTATTTTTTTAATCGTATATTTTAGTAAAAAATAGTTATAAAAAATAAATTATAATCTCAGTGGAGTCCGTAACCCAGTTTATAGGTTCGACGTGCTAGCCCAAGGTTCCTGATTACAGGTTTGATAAGTTTAGCCACCGATCGAATATGCTTTTTTTTTTATCCTTTAATTGTTTTAATTTTTTTCTTTATTCATCCTTCAATATTAGATTAATTAAGAAATAAATTTCATGATTTATTTATTTTTTTTCTATAGTATTATCACAATCTCAAATAAGTGTCTATTTTTATGTTAATAATCAATTTTGTGAGCATCTATTTTTATCATATAATAAAAAAATATTTATAATTTTTTTTATTAAACTTAAAAAAGTCTATGACTCGAATCACAAGAGAACCATAGTCAATCCAATCTATCATTATCTCAATATATAAAAATAAATTGTTATCTTGAATTTTTAAAAAAATTTAAGTCACGTTTTTATAAATTACTAAGGTTCTATTTAAACTTTTTTCAATTGATTTAAGTTGAACTATCTCCTATAAGGTTTAATTAGAAATTTAAGTTAGAATAAGAGCTACGTCAAAAAGTTTTAAAATTAATCCACTTGATTGGGGTGGGTAATACTATTAAAATATTCTTTATATTTTTAATTTCTTTTATATTTTAAAAAATTAATCTGACTTGTGATTGAAGTACAAGTATAATAGAATTATCTAAAGAATTTGAAGTACAAGTATAATAGAATTAGCAAAGATATGATAAATGATAAAAAAAATAAAATAAAATTGGAAGCCTGAGAACCCGGGCCTTTCTATGTTTGGTCTCGGGATCAAGTCTCAGCCTGATTATCTAGGCCAAGCCTTGTAAAAAAGACCGGGCTAACTTAGCCTCAGAAAAAACCGGACCGACCTATGAACAGATCTATTTACGAGTTACAGCTGAATTAGAAAACAACATTGTATTGAAGTGATAAAGGGACTTAATAAAGGGAATTTCGTGGACTTCTGTAAAATAATCAATTCAATTAAAACTATGATCATATAGATAATTAATTTCATGGAGAGGTTACAAAATCGGTTGACCTGGTTAGATATTAGAATAAATCTCAAAGATAGATCTCTTATGATCTGAAATTCAAGATAAACTACATATGCACAGACCCGATTTAATTCCACCACATGTGGGATTAAATTCTCATCATGTGCTTTGATGTGAATTACGTGTTACTAAAATCAATCAA